GTCCAGTTAGTGCATGCTTGCAAAATTGCATATTGCCCCTTCACATTGGAATCAGTAAATCACACTAATAAATTGTAAATAATTCATTTGTAGGGAAGGATTATAAAAACGATGAATTTATAGGAGAAATTAGAGAGAAGCAAATAAGGAATTAATTGGGGTTTTTTTTTTTAAAATCTTAATTAAGTTTGGAGATTTGAGTTTTTTTTAAAAAAAAAAAAGTAATATTTTGTAAAAAATAAAAATAAAAATTTATGTTTTATTCAAAAAATATAGAGTAAAAAGTTTAAGTAAATAATGTATTGTGGACCTTTATATAGTGTATTGTATGTTTTTATGTACTATAATGTCGGTTAATATAATTTATAAATACTTCCTCCGTTTTAAATATACTGTAACATTTTTTTTTGTTTATCCTAAATTCACTGTAATATTTTTAAATTTAAAAATAATTAATAATATTTATATACATATATTAATATACATTTTATTTTATCTCATCACATCACTCAAATAAAAAACAAATAATCATTTCTCTCTCCAATCACATAATTTAATATCCAAATTATCTAAAATTATTATATTTTATACTCTTTACCAAAATTCTCGTACCAAACACAAATGTTGTACGGTGTTTGCGACGGAAGAAGTATTTTTTATCTTTTTATTTACTTATATTGTGTGCCTGCCGCCGTAACTTTAATAATAAATACATATATTTACATTATATCAATCAAATGATGAATATATCATATACTATTAATAGTAATGAACATAAATAAATAATAACAACAACAATTGAATATGACGTTGGTATTAAAATTTTTACTAATGCACAAGATTATGCACAAGATTGAAATAACCTGTCATGTTCACGATGATTTGTTCACTTTGTAATTTTTTTATTTATAAATACATACCAAAAAAATCATGTTAATAATATAAAAATAATATTTTATAAGTGAATAAAATATATTATATATATCGTGTTAATTATATATATTATTTTTTAATAATATTTATGAAAATTTGTGTTAACAAATAAATTTTCATCAGTTGTGCTCATTTGACAAATTTTTCTTATTTATCTTTTATAATTTTTATTAAAATATAGTATTATTTTCTTATAAAATAACTAATCAATATTACTACTACAATAAATAATAATAATAATAATAATAATAATAATAATAATAAATAGAATAATATGGTTAGTAGTTGGTAGTTGGTAGGATAGGCAATGGCCAATGGATAATTCTATTCCCTATACACCTACACATATAGTAGGTATTTTTATTTCTTATCAGAGCGAGTTATTTGAATTTGCATTATTATTATTATTTAAACCGTATATTTAGTTAAAATACTTCCTCCGTTCCAAATACCGTGTCTGCTACACTGTAAACACAATATTTTAGGAGGAATGTAATTAGTAGATAATTGAGAATGTATTAGTAAAAAATAATTATCCTATAATATAAATAATTATAAATTAAGATTAAGATAACTAATTAGTTTAATTAAAATTTAAAAAAATAAAATTTAAAAATTTAAAATGAGATTAAAATGTGTAATTATTTTTCAGAAAAAGGAAAGTGAGACGGACAAAAACGGCAACGTGGACATGATATCTGAGACGGATGGAGTAATATTTATATATAAGTGTTATATTTAATAACCTTTTATTAACAAATATAAAATGAAAATGCACATAAACACATCCCTCGTTGTGTTTACTAATAATTATAATGCATCTTGGTTTTGTTTACATTTTTCTCTTTTTCACTATTTATCAATAATAATTTATTTCATTTCATTTTCAAAATATTATTGTATCATACATCAATTCTTCCTCTTATGTATTTCATACTCCCTCCATCCCAAGTAGAATGGAAAAGACTAAAATATTTTTACTTTTTGAATGATTTTAAAAAATAAAAGTAGAGTAATAATTATGGGTAGTTTGGAAAAATAAAAATAATTTTGTTATAAAGTGGGGTTCACAGTTACTAAATAAGAAAACGAGACAATTATTTTAGGACGGACTAAAATGAAAAAAACAAAACAACTCTTTTTGGGACGGATGGAGTATAATTTTTTGTTTTGTTTTTTTTTTTTTTTTTCAATTCAAACATCGCATCAAATTTATTTGTTATTTTTCTATTTTAGGATATTCCAAAATATTGGTATTATTTTTGTTTTATACTCTTTTTATAAAATTATCTTAATTATAGCACTTGAAAAAAATAGAATTAAAACTAGCCAATTATTACTATTTAAGATTTTTACCAAACTAATCCCAAAGTTTATTTTCGTCCCGTGGTTAGGAACAGTGGTGATAAGATGTACAATAAATATATTTATTTGTGTTGTCTGTGATATCAATGCCAGTTAATTTCTAACAAATTTATATATATATATATATATATTTTGTAGTAATAAAAAATAATCTTATTTCTCTCTTTAGTAAAAAAACTAAATATTTTTGTATCTCTTTTTTTGTCTAATTTTTTTTTAAACTTTTTTACTAATCCTTCGGTCGCTTAAAAAATATATTTGGAGTACATTTCTTTTGTAATTATACTATTTATTCAATATTAAAAGTACTTTTATAATTTACAATATTAAGCGAAAGTTACCTTGATTTAAGTAATTACAAAACTAATAAAAGAATAAATATCATTTTATATTTTATCTATATTTATACGGTATACATATATAATATTAATATTTAAAAAATAAATAATTACCTTCTTAAAGAACGAAGTAGAAAAAAATTTTCCTAAAAAATATGAATATATTTTATATAGTAGAGGAAATAATAATAATAATAACTAATATTATTATTAAAAATAAATAATAAAAAAGAGGTATGGCAGAAATTGAATTGAGTTAGTGGTGATTACGCAAAAACGACTGTCTTGTCATTGATATTTATTTTAATAGAAGTTTGATATGATATATTTGGGTATATTAAAAATTTTATTTAATAGAATGCTAATATGAATCATATATAATATTTGGTATTCGAGACCAGCAATTTTATTTTTTTAATTATTGATACAAGATAACGAACTACAGTGTACTATCATTCTGAATAGCACATAATATTATTATAGAAAATATATTATTTATATCAATATAATGTAAATATAATATAATAACTAAAAATACACGACATATTATTATAAAGTACGTAATATAATTTTTATAGAAGATATACTTCTATAACACATATTTTAAACAGATGATATATGTTTTTATTTTACAGAGCATATACAATCTTTCTAAGGATAGATGTTATCTTAACCTTTTATTTATATTTTACGGAGAAATATCATAATAATTTTAAATCAGTATTGTAATGATTTTTTCAAATCAACATCGTAAAGGAATCGTGTATATATATTTAAAAACTTAAGTATACTAACATTTATCTTTTATATGAAATATTAAATCAAATATTTGTTTATCTTTATTTGAAACATTATATTTTAATTTAAAATTTAAAAACAATTAAAAGGTCGTAATATAATTTTGAATTCTTAGGTGGGTGTGTGGAGATGCATATTTTCAATATGCAAAGTGGATGAGGATGTAAACAAGATCCTTATCCGAAATGAGGAGTATGTTTCTTTTATTATACTTGTATTTTGTTTCATTTGAATTTGCCCTTTATAAATATGCGTGTAATATTGTTGAGTTGTTTGGTCTAATCATGTGTCTATTCATCGTGATTGTTTGTTTATAATTTCAAATACAAATTTATATTATTCGATATTTAAATAAAACACTACGTGCAAAAGACTATTTATATATAAAAAAATCAAGTCGATTTCCAAACAAATGATTATCTAATTAATTCCTAATCAGATATTGATTGATATTCAATTAAACAACATAAATAAAATTATGTAAATGACCAATTCAATATACACAACAAAAACAGAAATATTTTTCTAGGAGTAAAACTACTTCCCTCACTGGTCTGATATCTTGGTTGGTGTCTCAAGCATGACTGCAAATTTTTGCCTATTATGTAATGTTGGCAAGTTCCCATATTTACATGTTAGTGCTATTAAATTATTATTATTATTATTATTATTATTATTATTATTATTATTTTGTCCAAAATACACATAATCTACCGTCAATTTTTATTTAAAAACTAATACCCACGTTATTCTTTTAGTTTTTCAAAAATCAAATTCAAAAATATATATATATATATATATATATATATATACAAGCGATGCTGCTACCTGAACTGAGCATGAAATAATTAAAGAGACAAGTGATGTCCATTATCGCACTCATCTATCACTGCTCGGCCTTTTCAAAACTCAGCACTAGTTGTAGTTGATAATTCTTTTTCAACATATAATAAAACTTCCAATTTAGTAATGTCAAATCTAAATTATCACTTACTCATTAAACGATATATATATATATATATATATTAGTGATCAATCATGAATACTAAAATAGGATGAGCAACACCTAAAATAAAAATAAATCATGAATGAGAATACAAACGAACTGAACTACTAATACTCCCACATGTAAATCAATCATCCCATACCATAAAAGAAACATGATGCCCATATTTCACTAAAACTACCCTTACTTATATCAATATTATTATACAAATATCACTACTTTCATGTGTCGAAACGGAGATAATACTTAAAAACTCAATTGAACAAAATGATATGTGGCTAAAATTCCATCTCTATTAAAATAATTGAACCAATAGCAAAAGCAAGACTTTAAACGACTCAATACCACTTTTAGGTTGCATCTAAAAATGTTCCCAAAAGACATACAATAAGTGGGAGACACATTATCAGCTTGCCCATGAACTAATAATTAAAGATAAAAAGGAATGATCATTATCACTACACATAACATATATTGCCACAATCTTTATATATATGTATAGTCACAATACGAACAAAACAAGCAACATTTATTGAAGAAAACATTTAAAACACTAGAGATAACTTTCAAATCTAATCCTCATTTCTCAGGAAAATTGAAGAAAACCAAATTCAAGGTCGAATATATTTAGTATTACATGCAATGCGGGCACAAATTGGTTTGTCGCAATATTAAATAAAAATACATATATTTCTATTCTAGGTAGTGTCACACATTATTGGCATGCCCAGATTGATTTGTTGCAATGGCAAGTGTCACTAAATTTCAACTAATAAGAAGCAGCAATGATTTTGCAACTACTTCCCAATCAAAAACCTTTCTTTGAGAGCCAGCAGTTACTTACTATTGGCTGCTACCAAGGACATGTGCTCTATCAGATCTAAAACTCGGGTGCTGCAAAAGAAATTGGGGTGTAAGGGTGCGTGGAAATATGGTTTAGGGCACGGCACGGATATGTAGACATACAAAAGGAGAAAAGCGTGTTACCTGTAACCCCACTCGTTATCATACCACGAGACGAGCTTCATGAAGGACTTGCTAAGCCCGATCCCAGCCTTTGCATCAAATATGCTAGACCTGTGACAAGAAAATAATAAAAAATAACATGGGGGAGTTTAATAGATCATGGCCTTGAGGTATAGCAAAGTCATAACCAGTGAACAAAAAAAGAAAAAAAAAATGACGAATAGATACATAAAAAATTCGGTTAGTCTGAACTATTGTGGTTCAAGTATATTATGAAAAACCAAAACCATAGAGGTTGATCACTTTGAAATTTATGTATTTAGGGCCAGTTAACAATATATATCATTACAGGTTGGACAAGAAAATCTTGATTTCCACGTTAATCTTTTTCTTTCCATAAACCTATTTTTAAACCCACTTTTGCCGATATGTTGAAAAGATTGCTCGCATAAATTTCTTTTTTTATGGAAATAATTGATACCTTACTAGTTATTACAGTACATATCCTACATAAAAGGGGATTTCAAGTACTATGTAGTAATTGAGAAAATATATATATATAATATGCTCCAACAATGAAAAATATAAGCAATTGGTACTTTCCAGATGTGAGGAAATAGAAATCTCAAATGGGCCTACATTTTGTTATGTTTTGGGTTATGTCTGGGGTGGGCTTTATTTATTTTGGGTTTAATTTATTTTTAATAAACAGGGTTTAGTAGAGAGATATTTAGAGAAGGGGACTTTAGAAGATAACTTCATTTAAAAATTAAGGAACCTGACGGCTTGGGCAAACAATAGATACCGTTTGATTGTTCTTATCTTATTCATCTTGTTGTATCAATTAATCCAATCTTCCGGACCCAATCCCGTTGTCAAAAGGTAATGTTACACTGGTCAGCCGAGTTGCATTCTCGCAAGTCTGGGCTGACATGGAATGAATTTTCGCATGTGTTGATGGTGAGATTTGATACATCTTTAGAGTTTCAGGGGCAGTCATTTGGAATAATTGACAAACATTAAATTAGAAAGATCAATGGATAACTACATAACTACATCTTAAGTTGGATCTATTGGCAACTTTTCCAAACCTTCTTATCACCCTTACATAGCTTAATTAGAAACAAACGGTTAGCCTACAACCCAAACATAATTTACCCACCTCACCAGAATTAGCTTAATTGCGCCATACGCCCCAAGACAAGAATGCCTCCTCAAACAATTGAAGGTCATGATAGCTAAGAAATTAGAAGAGGTCTGAGACCTTCAACAGTACAAATACTATGAACCTTTTAGGTAGGAAGAGCGGACAGAAAACAAGTGAATGTGCATCAATAGAGGAGAGGACCTAGCCGTTTTCCTTCATGGTAGGCTTACCAACCCACAAAGTATAGGGTCGCACAAAATTGTACAAGAAAGGATTATAACATTATTAATCGATAGTGACCGTATCACCCTTTAGAGTTTCGTATAACCTCATTAGTCATGTTTGGTGAGGTCAAAACAAATTGAAAAGCTATGACTATATCCTTGGAGTGGAAGGGCCGATGATTAGTGCTGATGAGTGATGGACAACCAAACCCTTTGTCCTAACTCCTAACCCAGTCACCCTAAAGATGTTAGGTCAACTCCGTGAGGCTGAATTTTGGGTAGTGGTGATAGAGAGAGCTCATAAGAGTCACATAATCAAATGCGGAACAACTTGAGACTAGTTCAACCATTTGCCTAGGTTTTTGCAAAATAGCAAGGTGGGCCATCGAGGATTCTAACTTATAATCACATTTGGTTTACCCCATTGATGAATCCAATTCTTGTTCAACCAAATTGTTACAATCACTTGGGAGGACGAGATTGAGAAACTGGTGAGTAAAATATGTTAAAGGAAAAATAATTTGACTGGGCTTGAGCCCCTTTTATAGCCTAGTCTTGCTAAGTGAGAAAGAAATTATGTTGATTATAGGGAGCTAGATAAGCTAACAATTCAAGACAAATACCTTATACTAGCAGAGTTAGAGTTACAAGGCAGTCTACACGGCAGATCTGATTTTTTGTCTTAGACTTTACTTTGGCCTTGCAGAAGATAAGGAAAGTAAACAAGAGAAAGATCAACTATTACTCAAGCGGAAAGGACAACTAAACTGTGAAGCAACTTGGCTAAACGAGGCTCATTTCCCGTTCCCATACTTCAGCTTTGGGGACAAGGTCGATTCAAAGGGGGATAAAATTGATACAGAGAACAATTGAGAAAAACATGAGGTTAAGATTAAGAGAAAGAGGAGTCTAAGTTATGCTTCTATGTTGCCACCATGGATGGGTTTATGACTCACGTTTGCAAGTTTAGGCTTTCATTAGTTTGTTTTGGTAGTCTTTGTTATGTCTTAAGTGGACTTATATTTTGTTGCGTTTTGAGTAAGCTTAAGTTATTTTTAGTAAGTATAGTAGAGATAATTAAAGAGGAGGTCATTAGGGTTTAGAAGATTATAACATCATTAGGCTATTGGGTAAACGGTAGATACCATTTGATTGTTCTACCTTATTCATCTTGTTCTAGCAGCTACTGCCCTGTGAGTGGTTACTATCAGGGTGAAGCTAAGATTTTCAGATGGAGTAGACAGAAGATTCATACCTTGAATCACCAACAAAGTCATTGGAGACTACGTCTTCATCCGTGTAACCAAGAATGCCGTTGAGTGGACCCTCTGCTGCATATCTGATAGTTTAAGGCATTTCCCACAATTAGCACTCAGCACCTACTGAGTCAGATAAAACAGAAAGAAATGGAAGGTCCACATACTTGATGGCTGCTTTCACATCTTCATAAGAAGCATCCTTCTCAATCCGACAAGTTAAATCTACAACAGATACATTAGGTGTTGGAACACGGAAAGCCATTCCAGTGAGCTTGCCATTAAGTTCTGGAAGCACTTTCCCAACAGCCTGAAAATTCACATTTCAGTAAGTGTTAAGCATAGAGAACACAGAAAAATAAATTGGTACATAAATGAAAAGTAACTAATCCTGTACCTTAGCTGCACCAGTAGAACTAGGGATGATATTCTGCCCTGCACCACGCCCACCCCTCCAATCTTTCATTGAAGGACCATCAACAGTCTTCTGTGTGGCTGGACATCAACAAAAATGACCCCTTCATTAGTATAATGTGAGTGAAGGAATAAATGATGAAGTGCAGGAGCACACATAAATACATACCTGTGGTAGCATGGACAGTTGTCATTAGACCCTCAACAATGCCAAATTCTTCATGCACAACCTACAAAATATAAAAATAAATAACATAAACTTAAGAGGTTAGTACACCCCTGCTACATAAGTCCAAGAATATAAAGTGAAGGTGATCTGATTTACATAAAAGCTGCTAATTTAGAATAACATAATTAAAACAAGCTGAGTCGATCAGCACTAATCCATACAGAAAATTAATATTCCAAGATAACCATCAGATTTAAGCCAAACCTTGGCCAAAGGAGCAAGGCAATTGGTGGTACAGCTAGCATTGGACACTACATCCATGCTTGCTTTGTAAGAACTCTCATTAACACCAACTACAAACATAGGAGCATCTGCAGATGGAGCTGAGATTACAACTTTCTTGGCACCCCCCTGAAGAATAAGCATTCATGTTGAGTTGTTTCTATGAACCAAAACAAGCAGCTAATTAGAATATCAATACTTTAACAAACCCTTTTGTGTGCAGATGCCTTCTCCAATGTTGTAAAAACCCCAGAGGATTCGACAACATACTCAACCCCCAAATCTCCCCAAGGAATCTCAGCCGGGTCCCTGTATAATAAATTTGAAAATTAGCATTGGCAAAAAAAAGGATCACATGTTTAGCAGGACCTACTACATTGATATGTCATTAATTTTGAATAACGCATTGATGCCTTTTGCTGCTGACTTTGATCTGCTTTCCATTAATTTCCAGAGTAGATTCATCAATTACTCGGAGGGTTCCCTTGTATGGTCCATGAGTTGAATCATACTTGAACATGTACGCCTGAAATGATCATTTATAAACACATGTGTAACATCCATCACAGATACATAATATCTCAAAATGTTTGTAAACAACTGTGGCTAAACTGCAAGGATCTCACAGGTAAGGTGGCTCCAGTAGAGTTGGTAGGTTCCATTGATCCCTTGAAACTCTACCTGGAGTCACCCCACTGGACTACATACAAATTCTAAAATCCAAGCAGCTCAGTGGGCTTATTACTTTTCCAGGCTTAACTAATCTGCAACCACCAATAAGAAAGTACTGAGTAGAACAAGCAAACTAACCATGTATTTAGCATCAATAAAGGGATCATTAACAGCCACCACTTCAATATCATCTCTGAAAGTTGCTATCCGCAAAACTAACCTCCCAATGCGTCCAAACCCTGAAAGGCTCACATACATCAATAATATGCTACCTAATGCCTTCCAACAGTAGACAAACAGACATTATCATTTGTTTTGCTATTAACTTGTATAACAAAAAATTCCTATTTATGACCAAAAAAACTTGAGAAGAAGGTCCATACTGGGACAGGAGAAACATCAGCAGGAATTATATGAGAAATTAAACATACCATTGATACCGACTTTTGTTTTTCCACTGCTACGTGATTCTGGATGATGACATGAAGAATCCAACTAGTCAAAAACTGAAAACAGATAAATCACACCTTCAGAAACTAAATGTGCATGTGCATAGGCCTTACTTGGCACTGCAGGAGGGGTCTCTGTTGCTGTTGCCTTAATGGGCAGAATCCTGCCGGAAACAGAGTTCCTGCATATTTAATTTAGGAACTATGTAGATTAGAACCAGTAATATATGGAGATTCATCAATTACAAAAACATACAAAATATTGTTTTTCAAGCACTCAACTGTAATAAGGAGGATGAGTCCAGCTGAACCTTAGTTCCAGTGATACTACTATGGAATTTTACTGCGCCAGCATTGTGGATACTTCCGTTGCATGAAACCTACAATATATTTTGCAATTATGCGTTAGAGGATTAAAAAGAGAACCCATTCAAACAATGAATCAAACACGACAGAAGACCAAAGGTATAGAGTAGGAGCACTGAAAGCGATGGTGACTGTACTTTTTGTCGGAACCAAGAAAAAGTCGCCTTATATTGCTAAATGATAAAATCATAAGGCACATCAAGCTTAAAAATAAATAAATAAATAAAATCATAATATCATATATCGCTCGATCACAGTTTACGTTCAGGAGTTGACTTCAAAATTTTCCCAATAATACCAACAATAATACCGACCGGATCAGTTCATTTCCCTTCCAAAAACATTCCACCCCATCAAAGCCGTAGACATCTACAAATTGTCAATTAATCATTTAGCGATAGGCGATAGCTCAATCTTCGCCCCTCGATCAATACAAGAAGGTATTCAGAAGCTAAAGTCGAGCAACACAGAAAGCTCAACCAAGAAAATGCGTATAATTTCAATGTCATGAAAACAATCAGAAGAAAAGATGCGCCTTAAACAAAACTATGCAGCCTCATAATTAAAAATACACAAAATAAAAGGAAAATAAAAAGGAACCCACAAACCAACTAATCTGATCACAAACTACGAGACACTCACCTGAATACGAAAAGCAAAACACAATCTCAAACCATACCTTAAATCCACCGGACGAACGGAAGGCATCACAGTCCAAAACAGCAGACGAGGCAGATCTAAGGATCGCAGAAGACAACGCCATTTCTTAGCACTCGTCCGCCAGGAAATACTTCGAATGGACGGCGAGACACAAATTTCTCCGAACCGATGTGCGCAGACGAGCACGAAAAGGCACAAAAACCCTAAGCAGAATATAAAATATGGCCAGGTAGAGTAAGCGAGGAAGGGTTTTGGCCTTTGGAGGAAAGGAAGGAAGGAGGTGGCCAACACCGAAAAAGGGGTATTTATATGGGGAAATGAATCAACAGCAGCGGAGACTGCGATGTTAACCAATTGGCATCTACAAATAGCAGACGAATTTTAGGCTTCGATTTTAAAGTAACGCAAAAATAACACCAAACTTTACCTACTACTACGTTAAGGTAAAATAAAGCACATTCAAAATTGTAAAGTTAAACCAGATTTTTGGGAGTTTTTGGGGTGAGTTTATTTTGTGGAATAATTTGAACGAGTATTTTTTTTTTTTTATGTAAAGAATGAAAATTTGTATAAATAATATAAAAATAATAAATATATATAAATATTAATATTTTTTTAAAAAATGTATGAGAGAAAAAAATTGAAAGAACTACATAGGTGATTTTATTTTTTAATTTTAAATCAAAACTTAACAAATTTTCAGAGTTTTAAAAATTTTAAAAAATATATATATTTGTTGTAATACTTTTAAAAATATATATACTACTCACTTTATCCACTTAATTTATCAATTATTTATATTTTTGTCAGTCCATATAATTTATTATTTTTTATTAAATTATAATTATATTACTAATATATTTTTAAATTATTTACTAATTATACAATATCTAAACTAAATAGGATAATTTAGTGTCCAACCTCCACACCACAGGTCATATTTTTGTACTTTGATAACTATTTGAGATTAATATGCTCATATTTAGGTTTGTATAATTTGATATTTTTAATAAGAGTATATATTTTTATTATTTCAAATTCAAATTAATACTATTTATTTTTTTATAATTTATAATAAAAATATATATTTTTTCTTATATTATACTCCCTCCGTCCCAAATACCGTCTCTGTTAGACTGTAGACATGGTATTTTAAGTATTTTAGGAGATGTGTAATTAGTAGATAATTAAGAATGTATTAGTAAAAATAATTATTCTATAATATAAATAATTATAAATTAAAATTAAAATAACTAATTAGTTTAATTAAAATTAAAAAAAAATAAATTTTAAAAATTTAAAATGAGATTAAAGTGTGTAATCATTTTCCAAAAAATAAAAGTGGTATGGTACGTGGGACGGATAAAAACGGCAACGTGTACATCATATTTGGAACGGAGAGGGTATCATCTTAAAACACTGTTTAAATAAAAAAAATTTAATTGATATTGTATTTTAAAACTCTAAATAATTATTGTATGTATGTGTTATAATATCTAATGTGTATATTTGTATTAAAAATGTCAATTATTTTTGTATAGTAAAAATATCAAAAAATATACTACTACTACTATATAATTATTATTGCTGTTATTATTTATTACTATTATTTAATGAAATCAGAAAAATGCGACCGGTATTGATCGTTTTCAATTTTATTTTGTTTTGGTGGGGTTGGCTGATGCGTCATGTCACCTAACTTCCCTTCACTTTCCTTTGTATCCACGTGACTTGGTGACTCTCCTGATGTACTGTGCCCCTCCGTCCAACATACCGTGTCTGCTACAGTATTTTAGGAGAAATGTAATTAATAGATAATTAAAAATATATTAGTGAAAATAATTATCCTAAAATATAAATAATTATAAATTAAGATTAAAATAACTAATTAGTTTAATTAAAATTTAAAAATAAAATAAGATAAAAAAGTTTAAAATGAGATTAAAGTGTGTAATATTTTCCAAAAAAAAAAAAATTGACATGATATATGAGACGGATAGAAACGGCAACGTAGACATAGTACGTGGGACGGAGGTAGTATTTCCTTTTACATAATTTAGTCATATTTTCTATTTTGATCAATTTTACCTAATTTGACATTTTTTTAAAAATATAATTATATATTTTAATTATTATTATAAAAAGTATAATTATAAATTTATTTATTTTAATTAAATTATTTAATTGTTTTAATTTTAATATATAATTATTTTTATTAATATACTTTTAAATATTTACTAATTATATAATACTTAAAATTCTAGTATTCAAATAAAATGAACAAATTAACTATGGCGGAAAGAGAATAGTATTATTGTATTGAATGATAGATTTGTTTTTTTTTTTTTTTTAGTTTGTATTTTTTAATAATATGAAAATTTGCGGATGCTAATTTTTAAAGTATTTTTACCATAAATTCAATCCTCGTATTATTAGACAAACTATAGACTATTGATTTGTTGATTTTTTAAAAATTATAGTAAATATATATATATATTATATTTTAATAGAAAAGTACGTTAGAACTAGTATTTTTGTAAAGACACTCCAAATGAACACAACAAACAAATGAGTGCATGCTTATATTTCATGATCGTTTATTCCAATTTTCGACATCAAATAGGGTCGGATTCGGAAATATGGTTGGTATCAAAACAATACAGTTAATTGTACTAAAATTTACTTATTTATTAAATATTACTTCTTTTTTTTTTTTCTTTTTTAATGACCTGCAAATCAATTTGAATTTATGACCTCACGGTCACAAGGCCAATCCCTATCCACCTTGTGATTTCTTGTTGGACTTATTAAATATTATTCTTATTTTATTAACACATGATATCAATTTTTTTTTTCTTAGCAAATGTAGATTCTATTGCACAGTAGGTGTTTACGTTTGGGGGTTGAATTTTGAATTGAGATTTGAATAGTAAAACTTTTCGATTGAAATAGTTGTATGATGTGATATAAACAGGATTGGTGTGATATTTTTAATTTAAAATTATTTTTTAGCATAATATATACTTCCTCCGTCTCGTACACTACTAGAAAAAAGGTTGATAATTGCGAAAATTTGTCGCAAATTTTAATCTATGACAATTAAAAGTCACGGAAAGTAATTTCGTGACAAATTTATATCACAACTTTTTGTTTGGACTATTCCGTAAATAATATTTGCCGAAAAAGCTACAAACAACTTTCCGTGACTATTTAAAGTAACGGCTTGTGTAACGAAAATGTCCAAGATATTTCTATTCCCTGTCTTTTGATTATTTCGTCACAAAAATTGTCACGAAATTTTTTCTTGACTATTTTAAGTTGCGGCAAAAATAACCAAAATATTTCCAATATTTTAAATTATTACAGATATTGTCATAATATAATTTTTGTGACTTTTTAAAATCAAATTTCACAACATAAGTAACGAAAATAACTATAAATTTTTCTTATTATTGTTTGTAGCTATTCAAAGTAATAACAAAATAATAAAATCATCTTCAATATCTTTATTCAATATCGTTCGTAGCTATTCAATTTTTTGTTAAAAATTCACGATGATATATTAAATGAATATGTATATATTTTTAAAAGATAAATTTATAATCAATAATATTTATATAGTTAAAATATAATTAATACGTTATAGTAGATAGCTAAGTTGGCATGACAGATCGTGTAAGTCTTTAATAACTATATATAAGGTCATTGGTTGAGAAATAGTGTGGTACGAAGTAATTCCGAAAAAAATAATCGTGTGTGGTTGCATTGAACACAAATTATAATATAATTTTTTGTTTAAAAAATATAAAATCACGGAATTATTACGGCTTTCGTTAATATAAAGTCACAGAGGTGTAATGGTATTATTTTGTAACTTATTGTCATGAAAATATCACAATTATAAAATAATTACTAAATTTTGTTACAGCTTCTGTTGCTATATAAAGTCACGGACATGTCATGGTATTATTCTATAACTTATTGTCACAGAAATGTCACCACTTAAAAAAAGTCACCAGCAAAATTCAACGGAAATAGTTTCGTATATTTTTCCGTGACTTTTTAGTAAAAAGTCACCAATTTGTACTAAAACTGTGACTTTTTTTACCGCAGCTATAGTCTAATTTTTTGGTAGTGATATCTATCTATACATTTACTTTTTGCACGAAGTGTTAAAAATATTTGTATTATATTATAATGTAGTATAAATAAATAGAAGACTAAACTATCCTTATTAGTATTGTATTATATAAAAATAATGATATTCATGTAATATATTATAAATTGGAATAATATTTGTAATATTAGGTATATAGTATAATTACTTACAAAAAATAAATAAATATTTTGTTATGAGACAGTAAAAAAATACATATATATTTTTTTAAGGAACAAAAAGAATATAAAAAAAAATAATAAGAATTTGATTTCATATTTTTTCATGAAAAAAATTGATAGATAGTAAATTTTGGGAAAATCTCGTAAGCGGACACACCCATTTATAAAATTCATTTTTTGTTTGGGGGATTGGATTGAATTTATACTATTTATCCAATTTTTTTCCCCCAAAAATATCAAATCAAACATCTATTTTTTATTTTTTATATTATACTAAAAATTAATTTTACATTCAAAACATCACGTCAATTTATATTACATCATACAACTATTCAAATTCAAAATTTTTACTATTCAAATCTCAACTCAAAATCGAATGCCCGAACAAAGACACCCGTATATTAATATTATTACATTATAGTATTAAAAATATGAGGATAAAAAAATTTTGCACAGAGAATTATTTGCCCCCTTTCAGAATCAATCTATTCATTACTTTCCACAACTTAAAAAAATAAATAAATAAAAAGAAAATGTCAAATCACATATTGTTACAAAATCATTATTATTGTTATTTTTATTATTATTGCTAGTCTCGAAGTCTCGATTTAAATGAATTGTTTGGAATATTATATTATATTAAAAAGTAATATCATTATAAGATGATTTTGAAATTTTTATTTTTTTTATTTTATATAAATATATAATAATATATTTGTAATTTATATAAAATTTTTTATAAATATATTAGTAATTTAATTATAATTAATGTTATTAAATTGATGATAATATAAGAGTATCATAATTGTATCTTGAACCAATCATTCATCTTTATAGATAATCCTTAGTAAAATAAAGTACTTTGCCATTTTAATTTGTTAGGAGTAGATTATAGCAAAGTTCTTTTTTGGGTTGTTTACATTAAATATAATTAAGTAAATCACACAATTCTTCTCGAGATGTTCATTTTCTCT